CTTTCAACTGCATAATTGTTTCAAATGTTTGTCTGCAGTACAGATTACCGTAGTGCAGGAATCACTGTATTTCTGACAAAGGAAAAACACCACATTTTTTAACTGGGAGGTCCTTTGCTCTTTTTATGAGTAGGTTCCAGAGGATAGGTTGAGTTCACATCAATCCAAGCCTAGAACTGACAGTGCAGCCAGTTCACTCATCTGCCTTCTTTCCAGAAGATGGAAACTAACCTCAGCAACACTGCCTCTTATCCCCAGCCCACAATTTGGCCAGTTAGTCTGTTAAACTCGCTCACAGCCAGTCATCAGACCATTACTGAGAGACGGCTTTCATCAATTCCTAGACTCCATTATCACAATGTTTCTCTAAGTCAATCCGAGAAAGTTTTTAAACCTTGATAAATGCTGTAACTCTGTTTGTGGTGTGAGCCTACGATAGCTGGGCTAGCTTTGCTGGGAGTGTGGCAATGGCTACTCATGAGCTGGCTGCCAGAGTCCCCTGTTCCACTGGACCATGGTCTGAACCTCCCAAGATTCTTTCAGCTGCGTGGAAGGATACTACAGCAGCTCTGCTATGTTACCCATGTGTAGTCAGAATGGTGAGACTTTAAACTATTACAACTTCTCTTCCATCCTAATTGACTTCTTGTCCCAAAATGGGGTGGATAAGCTGTCGCCCTGCTCTGGACTTTTAAAAGAAACTTGATCAGATTAGCCTGCTTGCCGATCTTTCCTCAATTAAGTCTCACTTAAAACATGATTATAAAGACAATGACATGCTCTACTAATTCAGTGTAATTTGTGTTTCCTTACTTTACCTTCAGTTCTCTGCTTGAATGAGTTTCATTATCTAGTCGATCTTCATTTTCCACTTTTAGAGAGGTAGTTGCAGCATTCCCCTACAGAAAAAAATGGAGGAGAGACAAGTTTACTCATATGCTTATTATTTTCTACAACAGAGTTTATTTCCTTCAAATATGGCAAGCATGAAGCAAGAAAATAAAACAGAACAAATACATGCTAGAACAAACACAAAGGCAGTGGGTTACATCATTTACCACAGCAATGTCAGCATGTTCCTTATTGCTAAACATACAGAACATGTTCTTGGAGATGGCCCCAGTATGGCCTACAGAAAGCACTGAAAGGATTTACTAACATATTTAGTTGGGTTTTGGGGTGGGTTTTTTTAGGATTTAAGCACCGCTGAACAATCCAGAGGCCCACGTAGCTCCTCAGTGGTCTTAACAGTGCCAGCCTGCCTTCCTAAAACATAGTTAGAGGTTTGTGAATCCCATCCCATTAAGCAGCCACCCAAGTCTTAAATGTCATGGTGTTTTGGACATTTTTCTGTAGATACTACAGGGAAGAAAAGACTACTTCAGAGATGCTCTTAACATTCCTGTTTAGAAATATGGAACAATTTCCAACCTTTTAAAATGAAATCTTAAGTGTCTCAAGTCTCATTCTGACATTTTCTTTAGTTAGGTTTGAGAAGCGGTATCTGTAGTGTATAGAAAGTATTGAAACTACTAGACTGAGTAGACACCCTTACTCATCAAATACTTACCACATTAGTAGACAAGTTCTCTCTTTTGTCCAGATTATTCACAGCAAGGGGAGAGTTTTCCAAGAGCATCACCCTCCGGCTGAGGTTACCAATGGCCAAATCCACATTTAGAAGCTTGATGTCATTCAACTTTTGGTACGGCACTACAGTATTATTCAGCTCTTCCAAAGCTGCGTGCAGCAATTGGCTTTCCTGAAATATAAAACCAGCACAGGTCAGTTTACTCAACCCCTGCAGTGCTTTTGCTAATAAGAACATGGTGACTGACCCAGTTTAACTGCGCAGACTTCAGACTGGCTCTCGCCAACACTGCTGAAAACATCTGACTGGAAGCTTCCAGAAATGTATTCTGGCTTTCAAAGTTTGAAACTGAGATTCTTCCTCAGAGCTAACCTCTTTGTTGCTAACGTAATCACTTCAGCTGTGCCAGCAAACACAGAAAGCCTATTCATCTAATTTTCCAGGGCAAGCTTAGTAACCACAACAACTATTTTCCCCAAGATATAATGTACTAGGCATATTTATACACAAGATTCATTTTTGAAGATGATATCGACTGTATTAAATGTAAATAAATGCAGTCATTCCATTCCAACCCATTCAGCTAAACACCCACATATTATACTTTTTCCTTGTTGCCGAATCCCTGCTTTCCACACCTCATTACATTGAAGGTGACTCAATACATGACGCCTCCAAATTTGCTCAGATTGCCAAGTACCTGCCACAAAATCCATTCTATAAAAAGCCTTTAACTCAATTCCATTTACATGAGCAAAGTACACCTATAACTTGTTGGATATTAGTTTCAGTCTTTTAGTAAAAAGACCAGTTTGAATGCAAAAAATACTCTCAGACTAGGGTACTTTCCTGTTTGCTCATACTCAGGAATGAACTACAGCAAAATTATCTTACATTTTGTTTTGAAGGATGCTATCTGTTGTCTTGATAAGAACCATCCTGTTTTGTACACTACAACACTGCAAAACACACAAAAGCACTACACATCAGTGACACTTGTACCAATATTTCTTCTAAAGGAGAAAAATACCTTTCTGCAATTTTCTGTCTGATTTCTCTCAGTCCTTGGCACAACAGTGGAGGGAAGTGAAGGTATCTGTTTCAATTCCTTCTAAGGAAAAAAAAGGTAGAAAATTACATTACCAAATGCCTGTAAAAAAATATTAAGCTTTTAATAACTGGCAGCCTGTAGCTAAGAATGTTTTGCTACACTCAGGTCTGTTGTGCATGCAGTATTTTAACTCGGCTAATACAGTTTTCTCCTTCAAACATATCATGTCCAAATTTATTTTAATTAAACCCTCCTAATTAGCTCTTCTCCCTTTAATAAAGTAGTCGATACACATTTCACTGCTACCATACACACTGTCATATCTGCAATGTTTTCATAGCACTGACTGAATGAATCAAGTTTTATAACGCATCTAATTTAGACTTTACCTGCAAGTATTCTTATTAAAGTAATGCTGTATTGCAGTTTAGCTGAAAAACTTTAATTATTGGCTCACTTTGTTAACCCCAAGTGAGAGGTCAGTAGAATACAGTGAGTAGTTTCTGGTAAAGATGGTCAGTAATTTCATCCTTATATGAATCCTTAATTCAACCAATCAACTATCTCAATGTTTCCACCATCCCCAGTTCTAAAACAGCACAGAGTTACCATAACCAGTACCCTGCATCATATAGAAGCAGAGATTCCCAAGGCTCCACATCTGCATAGCAGGAAGCAAAAAATCTGCAGGGTAAGTGTAGTAGGGACCAACAATTCTGGCTCCAGAGAAATACATGCTTGGTACCATACAGGATACGCCACAGAGGGATCAGAAGGCTAGTTTATTAATGTATCAGCCAGCACCTACAGAGATTTCAAAAGTATTTTGAAGGCCTAAGGCAGAAATCCACACAGTTCTCGAACTTATTTCCTATTAGACAGGTAACCATCAAAACAGTGTTAAATCAGTTCATTTTCTTACCACATCATTCTGGAGTATTTCTATGGATTTCTTGTATTCTTCAATAGCTGTTTGTACATTTTCAACATCATGAGAAACACTGGTAAGCATGCTACCTATGTTTGCTACAGTCTGGAATAAAGAAGATGACAAAAACTTCAGCCTTCCTCAGACTGCACTGTCCCAAAGTTTCAATCTGCTCAACATAATGTTTTGTTAGTAAAACTGCAGGCACACTGCCACAAAAATATGCATGTGAATTTGAAGTATTCAGAACTTGCTTTGCCAACAAAACTGCAAATTATACCCACTGCATCTCCAGGCCAAAAAACAAAGACACTCTAAACCATGAGAGCTTAAATTAGACAACCAAAATTACTCCCACTCCCAAAACAATACAAGTGTTCTGGTATCGATTAAAAAAAAAAAAAATCCTGATAAGAAGACATCTTACCTCTTCTCTACATGGAGTATTTGTACCGAATACAAGGATGCTGACATCACCAATTTATCCTGCCTTAATTGTCTTTCAGGGCTACCCATCAGACACATCATACACTACAAAACTAGTCTGCGGATTAGATTTTCAAGCAAGTATTGCCTTTTTTTTAAAGCAAAAGAATAGCTCTGCAGCATCAGGAAAGCTTCTGTGAATTCTGCAGGTACAGTCAGTGTGCTCTGATAGCCACATTTGCTTCTGACTAGGCCGCTCTCATTCTTCCCTTGCCTTCCCCTATGTGAACTCCCCCTAATCCCAGCCCTAACTTTAGAAAAGTACATACTCTGAAAGCTGCACTGCTGTTCTAGCAGCTGACAGCATAGCCCCTATCAGAGTCAGACTGTCAGCTAGGACATTCACAAACACTAGTGAAGTTACAGTACCGGGACAGAGCATGCCCCTATGCTTCTCATTCCATTCTTAATACTTTCTTCAATCACTAAAACAAACAGAACCCATCTAAAAATCCCCTTTTCCTACAACACTGTTATGCTCAAACTCTCAAGGCACTAAAGTGACCCTCTAGCTACCCAGACTATATTCAAACAATATTCACACAACTCTTCTTCCAGCTCTTCATTTTGCAAGTCTGAACACAGGTTCAGTAAGCAATCTCCCTGCCCTGGAGGAGCTCAGGACACCTTTAGCACCTTTCATCAGCCTGAACAAAAGTCACTGTTCAAGAGGAACTCCCTCAGTAATCTTTCAGGACTAACACCAGCCAGCAGCTCCCCACTTTCAGGAACAGTACCTCGAGGGAAAAAGGCTTAAGAAAACCAAAATCCTATTCTAAGAATAGCAGCCTTTTCATAGAATCAAAACCATGTCCCCAAGTGCCACATCTGCACATCTTTTCAATACCTCCAGGGATAGTGACTCCACCGCTTCCATGGGCAGCCTGTTCCCAGTGCCTGACAACCCTTTGTGTGAAGAACTTTTTCCTAATGGCAAATCTAAAAACTCCACTGGCGCAACTTGAGACCATTTCCTCTTGTCCTGCTGCTTGTTACTTGGGAGAAGAGATCCACTCCAACCTCACTCCAACCTCCTTTCAAGTAGCTATATAGAGCAATAAGGTCTCCCCTCAGCCTCCTCTTCTCCAAACTCAGCCACTCCTCACAGGACTTGTTCTCTAGATGCTTCACCTGCTTTGTTGCTCTTCTTTGGATGCACTCCAGCACCTCAATGTCTTTCCTGTAGGGAGGGGCCCAAAACTGCACACAGCATTTGAGGTGCCGAGTACAAAGGAACAATCACTTCCCTACTGTCACCAGTTAAGGCTGGGCAGGTCACTAAACAAATGATAGATGCTCTCTATTAACCCTTCTCCCTTCCCAGCAGGGGAAGGGAAATGAGGCAAAAACACTCAAAAAACCCCTCTAAAACTGCTTTAATGAAACAATAACAATAAAAAGAAAAGATTAATAACAATACAATATATACAAAACCAGTATTGACCTCCCCGATGACAATCACGTCACCGCGGATGCTGCAGGGCAGGCACTGGGAAGTCCCAGACTGGACTCAGCAGCAGACAAGAACTGCATTCAGGAACTGGATTCAGTTATGCATGGATTGGGATCGAAGGCAGAAGAACGGACAGCGTCCTCCACGGACACCGCCCACAGAAGAAGAGGGTTTGACCCTTGTGATCCCTCAGCTCTATACCGAATATGATGTATATGGACTGGAACACTTTGCTGGTCAGGTTTGGATCATCTGTTCTGTCTGCTCCTCCCTGCAGATATGACATTTTTACTTACAGCACTTCAACACGGCACACAAGATTTAGCAGTCACCTTTGTTTTTATAGAAGCAAGTGTAAGAAAGAGCCTTTCTGCATACCATTCCTTAGTAGTTAACTATAAACATCAATTACTATCACTTCTAGAAGCAGACACTGCCTGGAAAAAAATACACCATTAACTTCAGAAAGTCACTTAGTCACTTGGCTGAAACGTAAAATGACTGAACTGAGAATTGGTTCTGTTCTAGCTTAAACCAGGACACCTACTCCTGCTGGCCACACTATTTCTGATACAGGCCAGGACGCTGTTGGCCTTCTAGGCCACCTGGGCACACTGCTGGCTCATGTTCAGCCAGCTGTTGACCAGCACCCCCAGGTCCTTTTCCCTCAGGCAGCTTTCCAGTCACTCACCCCCAAGCCTGTAGCGTTGCGTGGGGTTGTTGTGGCACAAGTGCAAGAACCAGCAATTGGCCTTGTTGAACCTCATAGCATTGGCCTCGGCCCATCGATCCAGCCTGTCCATGTCCCTCTGCAGAGCCCTCCTACCCTCAAGCAGATCAACACTCCTGCCCAACTCAGTGTCATCTGTGAACTTACTGAGGGTGCACTTGATCTCCTCGTCCAGATCATTGATAAAGATACTAAACAGAACTGGTCCCAGTACTGAGCCCTGGGGAAAACCACTTGTGACTGGCCCCCAACTGGATTGAACTCCATTCACCACCACTCTTTGGGCCCAGCCATGCAGCCGGTTTTTTTACCCAGCGAAGCATAAGCCTGTCCAAGCCAAGAGCAGCCAGTTTCTCCAGCAGAATGCTGTGGGAAATGGTGTCAAAGGCTTTACTAAAGTCCGGGTAGACAACATCCACAGCCTTTCCCTCATCTAAGCAGGTCACCTTGTCACAGAAGGACATCTGGTTAGTCAAGCAGGACCTGCCTTTCATAAACCCATGTGACTGGGCCTGATCACCTCATTGTCCAGTATGTGCAATGTGATGGCACTCAAGA